CCCCCCTGCCTGGGCAGCCCCTGGGGAGACACTGACTGCAGGGTTCTCTGCAGCACCGTGGACAGGAAGATGGATTGTTGCCCCTTTCGTTGGATTGAAGATAAGACAGCACTCCCCACACCCACCCCATAACCACAGACACACACAGGGACAGGGCCTCTGCCCTACAAGGTCCCTGACTCAACCAAGCCCCTAGGACATGGACACAAAGTAATCCTAGCCCTGGGACCCAAGCCTCCTTCCCTGCCCCTCACAGCCTCAAGGACCCAGGTGTCCTGGCCCATTACTCACAGGTGACATTGAGCTGGATGGTTCTCTCTGTGGTCACACCAGCTGCAGGGAACTTCACCTGACAGGTGAGGTTGGTGCCATGGTCCTGGGGCCGTGGAGTGAGGGTGAGCACCGAGGAGTGGATGATGTTGGGGCCCAGAGAGGACACAGAGGGCCCTACCCAGGAGAAGGTGGGTGGTGTTCCCTGCTCACAGGCCCAGGACACAGAGCAGGTCAGGTTGCTGGGACGGCCAGACTCCAGGGTCCCAGGGACGAGGATGTCAGGGGTCAGGGCTGGTGAGCAGAGGGGGACAGGCAGGGTCAGGAGGGAGGGTGGGAGGGGGGGCCCTGAGAGAAGCTCAGGCTATGACCAGCTGCTCCCTGAGCCCCTAATGCTGACCCCAGCTCCCCCAGGGCAGGGTCCCACCCAGCCCTGTCCTGTGACCTTCCTGGGGCTGCCCTGGAGCTGGAGTCTTACCTGTCACATGCACAAGACCTTTTTTGTATAATAATTCCACTTAAATGTTCCTTTCTCAACCCGAAATAAGTAGCATCCACTGTCACTGCGCTTGGCGTCTCCGATGCTCAGGGAGCAGTTGTTGGTTCCTGGGTCCCAGAGGAGGTGGAATCTGCCCTGGGTCTCCTCCTGCACTCTCTGAGTAGAGTTGTTTGTGGCCACAGGACAGCCATGGTCTGTATTGTCCCCTGCATGGAACCAGTAGATAGAGACGTTGCCAGTCTCTGAGCCGCGGTAGGAGAAGTTGCAAGGCACCAGGACACACAGACCCTCCTGCACCGTCACGGACTCGGGCACATCCACGCTGTGTTCTGGATCCTGAGGGGAGGGCCCCTGGGGAAGCCGAGGGTCATCACAGGGCACCCTCCTCAGCCCCTCTGCACAGGCCCCCTCCACTGCCCACAGCAGGGACAGCAGCAGCAGCAGCCGCAGCATCGGGAGGCAGAGGGTCCTGGGCTCCTGGGACTGAGCAGAGCAGCCAGAGCCTGCGGAGGGGAAGCTGCAGGACCCACGGAAGCTGGGGAGGGGCCGAGGCCTGGGCGGTTCTCAGAAGAGGACCCTCAGGCCCGCCCTCCAGGGCAATTGCCCTTCTGCACAGAATGGACGGAAACCCCACCTCCAGGGCCCAGAGACCCACTCAGAGGGGGACCAGGGCCCCTGTGCCCTTTCTCTGGGCTTCCTGGATTCCAGGGGCCTGGGCGGGAAATGTGTGCACCGCCCACCGTTCCTTTAGGATCAGCCATGCACATCCTGTCTGGGGGTCAGACAGGGACCTCTGAGGTCCTCTGAGCCCCAAGAGGTGGAACACCACGTCTAGGAGTGCTCCTGCCCAGGCTGAGGTGCTGCTGTGCCCCTTATTTTGCACCAGGAAGTGGTCCCTCCCTGGGTTGGCATGAGGAAGTCACAGGGTGGTCCAGGCTGTCTCTCAGCCTTGCTCAATTCCACCCCTAGGACCCCTGGCCACCTGGGCAGGCACTTCATAATACTTGACTGGGACATGGCGGAGCTCCTGCCCCCTAGTGGGTGGAGGCCAGAGATGCGGCTACCATCTGACCCTGCAGAGAGCAGTCCCCCAGCGTCAGGTCAGCAGGGTCAGGAGCACCAGGTGGAGGAGCCCTAGAGGCAGCCTGTGCAGCCAGGTGTGGGCATCGGGGGCTAGAAGGCGGGCAGCGTCCTGGTGACGGGTGGAGGCAGCCATGGCTCCCTCACTCCCAGTGAACACAGTGGCTTCTGCTCTCTGGCCTCAGAGCCCAGCAGCCGGCTCCGTCCACGCCCTCGAGGGCCCCCCCAGACCGGGACTCAGACAAGCTGCCAACGAGCACTGAGCTGTGGGTCGGGGCCTCCTGTGAGACGGGACGTGGTCTGTCCTCTCCGGGGACTGGAGGGGTATTCCCAGAGACAGGGCCCTGCCGGGGGGTGACCTGGCCAGGGGCAGAGCTGGGCGGGGCCTCCTCGGCGCCCGCCTCCTCCCTGCTCACCTGCCCTTCTCACCAAGGTGGGGCTCAGCCCGCCTGCAGGTCCTTTCTCATCTCTCACCTGCCAGCACCCCGGCCTGCCGCACCTGGTCACGCTGTCCCCCATGGAGCCCACACCTGCGGCTGCTGACAGCTGCGTGATGCTCTGAGAGGAACGTCCCCGTCACCACCTGTTCCTGTGCTGAAGTCCTAACCCTGAGGTGATGGAGTTCAGGGGTGGGGCCTCGGGAGTGGAGCCCTCCTGAGTGGGTCACTGTCCTTGGAGTAGAGAAGCACCTTGGCCCTCCCACCACGGGAGGTGACTGTGAGCAGGGGCCACGTGGACCAAGAGGGCCCTCGCCACACAGACCCACTGGTGCACTGCTCTGCCCACTGCCAGGGCGGAGAAGGGTCCTGCCTCCTCCATCCTCAGCGCAAACCTCTGCCCCGAGCTGGGTGTGATGGTGGACAGGGCGGCCCAGGAAGGTCTTCTCTGTGGGTTGATTTCATATGTCACCTGCCTGAGCCAAGGGCTGCCCAGGTGGTGGCCTAACAGTATGTGGATGTGTCCTGCCCCTCCTCCCACATGGGCGTCTCACTGGGGCTATGTGGGGGGAGAGGCCTCCACTGGAAAGAGCTGGGGCTTGGATGTCCATGTGTTGGAAGCATGTCCCCAGTGTGGCCATGTTGGGAGGTGGGGGGCCTACTGGGGCCTGATAAGGTCACTGGGCATAACCCTCAGAAGGAATGAATGTAGTTGTCATAGGACTCCAGTTGATTGTTGTAAAAGAAGGTCATTATCAAAAGAGGGGCCATGTTGTCATGTAGCTGGAAGTCCCTCACCAGGCCAAACAGGTGAGGCACCCAAGCCTGGACTTTCAGCCTCCAAAGCTGTGAGCTAAAGAACCCTGCTTCTTTACAAAGTATCCAGTGTCAGGTGCTTTGCTACATCCTCGGGAAATGGTCTAAATACAGACCTTGAGTAGAAGCAAGAAGAGAGTGAGAGAAGGTTGGAGGACCTGGGAGGGGGAGAGAGGCTTCAGGAGGGGACCAGGAAATGCCAGAGAGTTACTCACTTACCCATTCATCTGTGCATGTGTCCTGAGGCCGCTTTCTTCATTCTGCAATCAAAATAACCTGATAGCAATTGCTATGGCAAAGGCTTATGAGACCAATGGCTTCTTAATCTCCTTGAATCACGGCCGCTCTATTATAAAGATGCTATTATCTCTTTTACTAAAGGGAGAACTGAGGCTGCTGGGTGTTAGAAAACTTGCCCAAGAGCCTTTATTTAGTATTCACTGGTTTACACCTTCCCTGCTTGGTAACAAGGTCTCTGCCCTTGTCATCAAGAGAAAGTCACTAGGGTGGTTGCTAATCCAATGCATCTGTTGTCCTTAAGGTGGGAGACATGGGGGGAGACTGCAGAGAGGGTCTGAAAGCTGCAGACCACAAGGGCACCAAGGACTTGCGTGCTCTCACTTAAAGAAACGGTGAGTGTCCCAGGAGCTGAGTTTGGCCGTCTCCAACACGATGCAGCGTTTGCAGGTGCTGAACAGCACGTGGTTCCCATCCGTGTCCTCAGTTTTATGTTTTAGGTAGCAGTTTAAAATACATCTGATTTAAATTAAAGCAGAGTAGACTCGTTTTCAGAGCTGGTTTGGCTCTCAGAACCCTGGTAGCCCCAGACCTTCCCCTCGCCCCGCCCCTTCCCTTGTGATGGACATCTCACTTTGGCATGGAACATGGGTTACAGTGAAGAAATCATTATTGGTCCTTTACCGATGAGTCAAGTCCATAGCTGATTTGTGCTTCCCACTGCCCTCCTCCCTGGCCCCCCAGGACACCACATCGCCTTCAGCCTTGTGTCCTGGCTTCCCTGGGCTGGGCTGGCCTGGGTGGTTCTGAGCTGCAGGGGCAGGTGACTTTAGGGCGCCCTCTACTGAAGCTTCCTGGTGCTTTCCTCCTGTTCAGACTGGGACCAAGCATTTGGAGAAGAATTGAGCTGTTCACTTTATTCTCTCAAAAATGGAAGGCCAGCGTGCATCTGGGATCTTAGCAAGTAAAAAAGTAAATTAAAGGACTCATTTGGAGTATGGGTCAGGTCTCTGGGAGAAGCTCAGCTAAAGGCTTTTCAGCAACGGTCCTGGATGAACATTCAAGTTTATCATTGGTCAGAGAATAAATAGCGATTCTCAATTCCACCACCTGTTAGAGGCAGACTCACTCTCATCACAGAGATATGCCCCTAGCACACTAAATCTGACTGTTATATTGATCACCTATTGGTATTTAATAGCGATGTCTAGTCATGAAAAAATATTTGCATTCCATTCTGACGACATTTTTCATTTGTGACTTTAAAATTCTCCTATGGGTTTAATTTGGGGGACAATTAGTGTTAGGAAAATAAACTGAATTTTCATTTAACTTTCCAACTTGTAGATCCTGTGCTGTGTGAATATGCAGCCACGATCGTGAATAAAGCAGAGCTGAGCAAGTGTCTGCTGAGAGGTAAGGGAGCACTCAAGTCTAAAAGTGAGGTGTCCCTGGGACTCTGGAGATATTGGGATCCTTGGAACAGACACGACATCTTCCAGGAGGATTGGAAACCTGTGTTCAAGGAAAACTGACCTAGTATTTAGAATGAAAAGCACATGCACACACTGGGACACACGCATTGGTCACACACATGCTAAGCCCAGAGACAATATCCAAGGAAGGGAACCCAGTTCCACAAGCCTGACCCCTCCAAGACATGAAGACACGGAGTTGATTTATTTTAGGCATAAACAGACATCCAAAGATTTGCATTTCAATTTTGTTCAGAGATAATTCTCAGAAGAAGTGTCAAGTTGCTGTGACAAGGAGTAAGATTTGTTGTGAAATGCTCCTTGGAGAAGAGAGGAGAGTCGGGCTACAGTTGAAAACTCAATTCCTGATGGCAATGAACAACAATACCTAGGGTTGAACTCTGGGGCACTTGGCCACGGAGCCACATCCCCAGCTCTATTTTGTGTTTTATTGAGAAACAGGGTCTCACAGAGATGCTTAGCACCTCACTTTTGCTGAGGCTGGCTTTGAACTCGTGATCCTCCTGTCTCAGCCTCCCAAGCCCTGAGATTACAGGTGTGCACCCCGAAACCCAGCACAAATGCAGTCTGGATTCGCTTCTGTGGAGTGTGCCAAATAAAACCAACACTGTCTCCTTCCTTCCTGTCTGTGCTGAGGTTATTGCATGGCTCCCAGGAAGTTGAAGCTCAAAAGAGAAGTAGAGAGAGATTGTGGTGAGTCATGGAGACTTGCAGGTTCACAGAGCATGAGTCAGCCAAGCCTTGGTAGGTTTCAGGAGTTTCTTCTTAGTAATCATCAAAAAAGTTGTGCACAAAGAAAAACAGCTTCCAGCAGGTGAAACAGAGCACGTGGGCACAAACCAGACCCCCATCTCCTGGGCAGAGCCCACTGAAGGTCTCCAGGGGCACCAACACCACTGGTCAGATGGGGACAGGTTTGGTGTGGACATGTCACTGTCACCTGTCAGGACAGGCATGCTACGACCTTCAGCTGCCCTTGGACATTTGCTGTTTCTGGATCTTCATCTCCTGGACCCCACATCTGCTGTCGCAGCCTCTCCCACAATGTGTGCGCCAGGTCCAGGAACCACCACCATGGAATCAATGTTCTCACAAAAGTCCCAGTTGTCACCCGTCCATTATGACTTTATGCTTTTTTAAATGAAAAAAAAATGCACCAATCTCTTGCCTGGGACATCTGCGGTAGACGTGGCTCTGGTGGACGGACTCCAGGTGTCCATGAAGAAGGCCCGTCTCCCCCTCGATTTTCCTCGCTGCTGTTGGTTCTTGTTCCTCTGGTCGTTGACTTCATTCTGCCTAGTTTCAGATCTCGGGTTTATAAAGGTTGTGGCCGAGGTGTCCACTCTAAGACGAGGACCTGGGGCCACAGAAAGATCAGGCAGCTTTCCTTCTGTAGCGGAGCCCCCTGTGCACCCAACGCAGGTGAGTACTGTGGTGAGGGCCCCTCTGCTGCCCACCCAGGGCTACAGGGCTCAGCTCTGCCTCCCGGGACCCATCCTCTTTTTCCACCCAGTACTTCCTGCTGCCTGGCTCTGACCCTGCCCGCCAGAGACTCTCCTGCCTCAAGACTTACAGTCTCACTAAGGAGGAAAGAGAGCGACAGGGCACACTTGGTGCTGTTAATGCTGTGGTTGGTGATGTTATTCTACTGTCCCCTGTGCCTCGTCTTCTCTGAAAGTTGGTTGGGGGCTCCTGACTCTCCCCATCTTTATCCAATTCTTGCTCCAGGAGGAATTCCTCCCAGGAGGATGCACAACAAGATCAAGGAGGCTGTTTTACCTAACACCGGCTTCACCTGGTGGTGTGAGGCTTTGGGGGTGACGGGGCTTGCCCAGATGGGGTGGGGGAGGCGAGAACCCCCCCTGCCTTCCTCTCCCCAGATATCACGAGTTCCCATTCCTGCAGGGTACAGCAGGTCCACTCTGGCTGTGCTGGGCCGCACTTTGCCCTGGGAGGGACTGTGACGTTTTGCTATTTTGATAAACAAGAAGGAACAACATTAGACCCCAGAAGAAGGTTAAAGTTTCCTTGGGGCTTCTCACCAAGTTCCCAACTGTCCCTGTGTGGTCACTGGATGCCACCGCTCCTGACTAAAGGGACAGGTTTCAGATGACACAGTACAAGTCATGGAGGATCCAAGAAGGGGTGGGCCAGGCCCAGTCGGGGGTTCCCTGAGGAAGGAGCGGAGTTCCTGAGGGTGGAGGCATCTTCTGGATGATGCCTGCTGAGATTCATGTGGTCCACCTGTGATGATCAGAGTTTGTAAGGTTTATGAACAATAACAAGATTTAAACCCTGGACTATAACTGCTTTAGAGCCAGGTTTGGGAGTTCATGATTTTGATAACTGGGTGCTGATATGAGTCACCAACATAGCCACAGACTTCCCTCTGCACGGTGCAATCCTGGGGTTTTGAAGGTCTCAGACAACCATCCGTCACCAGGGACATCCCATTCCTGTACCCTGTTTGCATCCAGTCCCATATTGCTTAAGGACCCAGTTAGTTCAAGAAATGTGTCCCGGGGCAGTTTGTTACAGTGTGAACAGCGTAGAGTGCACTCACACACACCTACATGGTGTAGCCTATGACCTGCCTAGTCACACACACACACTCATGCACACTCATCCACATTATAGAACAAGTTATATTATGTGTAACAAGTTCCTCTAGACACACTAAGACTGCAAACAGTTACATTATGTACATGCACACAAACACTATATGTAACAAGTGACATTGTATATATGGAGCTTATTGCTTCTAAGGTCACTATAAACAAAAATCAAATTACAAACACACACACATAAAAAAAAAACAAAGAAAATGATGTGGTCAAGACACACAGGACCTGGGCCATTGGGAGGCTGCAGGCGTGAGGGGCATTCTGCTCCACGGGAGTCAGTTTTTTGTAAGTGGAAGTGCAGGCTGAAATGACGATGTGAAGTTGAGCACAGGGAACACGTCAGCCCCAACACAGGGTCAGTCACCTCTGTACCATGCACTATATGTCACCTGGCTTGCGGGTGGCTGGGGGGACGTGGGCTGGTTTACACAGACCCCACCAGAAACGTGGATAATGCCCTGTGGTAGGAGGTGGTGATGGCCGCACGATCACTAGGCAATGAGAGCGTCCCAGCCCTGTGGTGACCCAAGGGACCACCCCCCACCCTGTGGTCCCCTGGCAGGGAACGCACCTGCACTGAGTTGGGTCTGGGTGTCTGACGCACACCTTGCAGCCATCCACACGGCCCTGGGGAAGGAAGTCTGTCACCCTTCACTGGCCGTTACAAATGCTGTCCCTGAACATGTCCACTGCCCCCACACAGGGAGGGAAGAACAGGGTGGAGGGGCCAGAGCAGCCGGCCAGAACCCGAGAGGACACCGAAAACGTGGGCCCAGCCCTGGAAGGAAGCCCAGATCAAAGGGAAAGGAGACACCAGGTAAAGTGCTCTCTGCTCGACTTTAATGTGCTTTTCTGTGTCTCCTGGCTTACCAGCAGCAAGTCTGTGTCATAAATATAATATAGACACAGGAAAAATTAGAGAGTCCAGTAATGAGCTCAAGGCAACAGGAGGCCATAAAGATAATGACCTCCTACCGGGGCCCCTCCTCCACGACTCCCGCCCTGGGGGGCAGAGTCCACCCTGGGGAGGACCAGCACCAGGAAGAGGGGACAGGACAGAGCACATCTCAGAAGACGCAGGTCGGGGGAGGAGAGAGGCTGCGGGCTCTGGGGGGACACTCTTCCTGGGGACCCCAGCAGTTCATGGACCTTCCCGACCCCAGGCGCGGCCCCTGCAGGCCCCTGTTCCTTGTGGGTAAGTGGGACCAGACCTGTTTTCCAGGACCCAGGGAAGGTCAGCTGGGGAGTCAGGCTGGGAGGGAGCCAGAAACCTCCCCATCCAGGGCCAGCCCCACTCCCAGGACGGTGGGGAGGGAGGGGAAGGACCCCACAGGACCCTCCTGGGCTCACACACCTGGGCACCCCCACCACAGACACAGGCCACAGACGCACACAGACCGCAGGACGCGTGCGCAGGCACATGCAGCCCCAGGGACACACGCAGCTCTGAGTCCCGACACCACAGAGCCCTGAACCTGGACCACCCGCGGCCTGCCACCACCTCTCCCTGGCACCTGTCTGCCTGGCCCTTCGCCAGCTCCAGGTGGATCCCACCCAACCCTCCTTCCCAGCACCCTCTGGCCCTGAACCTGTACAACGGCCATCCTTCACTGGGGGTCACAAGTGCTGTCCCTGAACATGTCCAGTGCCCCCCACGCAGGCCTGGAACATGGCCAGTGCCCCCACCCAGGCCTGCAGCAGGGTCTCAGGCTCCTTTGCCTCTTCCACAGCCAAGGCGTGGGCTGCACAGAGTCATGGGTGGTAACAGGTCCCACCCCATGCACAGCCACTCCCGAGAACCTGGACGAGTGTGGACCGTCTCAGAGTAATAGCACCCCGACAGCCCCTGCCGAGCACCCCGGGTTCCCCTCAGGGTGCTGCACACTCAGGGCTCAGCGAGACGTGCCCGTCCCTGCACCCCCAGGACCTCTAGGCACAGGGTGACACAGGGACCCGTCACCAGGCCCTGACAGACCCAGTGCCCCCGGCTGGGATGAGGGAAGTCCAGGGGGCTGGAGAGCCTGGCAGGGGCTCCTGACCCAGGCTGGGGGGACATCAGAGCCGAGAAGTGAGGGTGCAGCGGGGAGCAGGCGCTGTGTCAGGTGGGGACCAGTGGGGGCCAAGCTGCCACTGGGAGAGCGCGGCGCATCCAGAGAGCCCCGTGTGAGTGGGCAGAGCCGGAGCCACGTCTTCTCAACACTAAGTACATGGGGGACTGAAGGGGTGCAGAGGTGTGGGGCAGGTGTGGGGCAGGTGAGGCCCAAAGGAGGCGACCCCTAATCACCTCTTGCTGAGAAAGTCCTGAGGACGTGCTGAGTCAGACCCTGAGAACACTGGGGCCACAGGAGGCACTGGAGGTGACAGCAGGGTCAGGATTGGGCTTCGTTGAGGTCCACGTGACGGTCGTGGGAGGGTGGATGGGAGCTGAGGGACCGAGGGGGAGGGCGGGCTAGGAGATGATGAAGGGAATAATGGACCAGGCAGCGGCCAAGGGCAGCGGAGAGGAAGGGCCAGGCCAGGGATCGCTCTCCCTCGCACACAGCGTTCCGGGGGCCACCCCCTGGTGGCTCAGGACTCAGTCTCTCCTCTTCTCTTACCAGTGGCAGCCAGCCTGCTGGCCTGTGGGCCCCGCCAGGCCTCCGGGCCGCTCTTCATCAGCCCAGACTCTCTCACTGCTGTTGAGAGACACAGGAATGTCCTGGCCCTGGAGAACGTGCCCGAGGGTGTCCAGGAATACAGCTGGTACCGGGGCGCAGAGGACAGCGCGGACACCATGATCATCAGCTTCAGGCCCCCCGATTCCAAGGTCCCTGGGCCCTTGTACAGCAACCTGGTGACGGTGACCAGCAAAGGCTACCTGTCCTTCAGGATGTGCACCTTAAATGACACGGGGAACTACACGGTTCGGGTGGACACTGGCAACGGTACCCAAAGAGCCACTGGCTGGCTGGAGGTCCTAGGTGAATGGCAGGTGGTCCCTTTGCCCACTGCAGATGGGAGCTGGACCCGAGGGCTCTAGGAGGGGACACCTTGGAGATCATGCAGTCTGAGTGTCTCCGGAAGGCACAGCACAGGGAGCCTTGGCGATGGCCGCCCAGCTTCTCCTGCGCACAGGGCCGCTCGCCACCTCCAGGGCTCTGGTTTCACTGTGGGAAAGTGTGACGTTTTACTGCTGCATAACACCCAGCCACAGGCCAGCTGCCTAAGGCCACCCCTGTGTTACCACACAGCTCCTGCTGGACAGAGGTCCACGTGACGCTCAGCTGGGTCTCTGTTCTGAGTCTCCAAAGAACTCTGGCCAGCGCTGTTCCCTTGTAGAGGATTAGCTGGGGGAGAAGCCAGTCCAGGCTCTTGCAGGCTGATGACCGAATTTGTTTCTTGTGGCTGCTTAGCAGAGGCCCTGGGGTCCTAGAAGACACTACGATTACCCGCCTTGTGGCTCTGTCCATGGGCATTTCTCATATGGCTTTAGGGTCAGTGGGAATCTCTCTCTAGTTGGCTGAGACGGAATCCTATATAACAAAAAACAGTGATGGGATGTCACCCCCCACCTATCTACAGATGGGACACAAGCCACCAGCCCCTCCATGCTTCAGGGTGGACATTTTACAGAGCTTAACCCAGGGGCCACCAGACAGCTCCAGGGGCTCCCCAGGGCCAGGGGAGGAGACTGTCCACGTGGAAGACAGGGAGCCTGTGTTTGCCTCTGACTCAGAGTGCTGCACAGCCCTGAGCCAGGTGTCTTCTCTCTGTGACCCCAGTGTCCTCCTCCGTGGCATGGGGAGATTCCCACCATGTGTCTGCTGTAGGTCGGAGGGAGCATTTGTGAAGTGAACCAGACCCAGGTACCAGGAGCCCCATGGGGGTCCGGATGCCATCTCTCACGGCTCCTCGGATGAGGGTTCCTGGTTTGGGGTTCAAAACCATCAGTCCTCGTCGTTGTGCCGAGAGCTCATCATACTGCAGCAGATGGGCAGCAGGGGCCCAGGCAGGGGCCCACCTGGGCAGCTGGTTGCCCACGCCCTGCTTCTCCGACCCTCTGAGCTCAAGCTCTTGGCTTCTCTTCCACACACCCCAAGACCACCCTGGGAGAGCAGAGCTGGGGAGGCAGTCCCCACACCTAACCCTCTTCTCCTGCTTCTCCCAGAGTTGGGGCCCCCACCGGTCATCTCGGCCAACGCCAGCTCCGCGGTGGAGAACTTGGATTCCGTGGCGGCCGAATGCCACACCAACGCCTCCCACATCGAGTGGTACCGGAACAGCGTGCCCATCTCGGCCAGTCAGCGCATAGCAATATCTGCAGACGGCAGGACGCTGGTCATCCGCAGGGTCAGCCGCCATGACAGGACTCTTCAGTGCGTCATACAGAGATACGAGAGCTTCCCAGACATTCTTCAGAAAAGTGACACCATCTCTCTGACTGTGGCCTGTGAGTGCTCTGGGGGTGTGGGTGGGCGAGAGGCCAGGGGCAAGGCCTTCCTGGGACGTGGCCATGAGGCAGGCAGATCAGGAGAGCCGGCAAGCCTGCTTGGTCCGAGTTCGAATCCCGACTCCGAATCTTCTGCTCTGGATCCGGAACTTCCCCCACCTCACTCAGCACCATGCTGACTCGGTTTTCAAGAGGAACCCATGTCCCCATTTCTGTGATTAGCAATGGGCCCTGGGAGGTCATTGAGCTCTGGCTTTGTACAGAGGGGGCTGCTTACAAGAAAGCGGTTCTCAGAGGATCAGTTTGAGTTGATTCTGTCAATTAAGTTTCCAAGCCTGTGGAGGTGCACGGAGACCAGCACACACCCTGGCCTGCGGCACACCAACCTGCGCTGTCACTGGAGGCCATCTCCCTGGGACTGAGGGGCCCCTAGGGCTGATGACGGCAGATGCTGTCACTACTCCTAAAGTCACTGAAACAGCTCCCCTGCTTGGTGGCAGGGGGTCCTGACCAGCTTGGGGCACACAGTGGGGCCCCTCATGGCTGGAGAGGGCAGAAGCGCAGCTGCAGGTCTCCTGCCCTGTCTCTGCAGATGGGCCTGACTACGTGAGCCTGTCCACCAACCTCCAGGGCTTCGACGGTGCCCTGACTGCTGGCATCGGCTCCCAGGTGCAGCTGGAGTGCTCTTGTGATTCCAACCCAAGTCCCAAGTACCACTGGCTCCACAACGGCTCCCTGCTGAGCTCGGATGCAAACTTGAACTTCTCCCTCGTGGCCTGGGAGCAGATGGGCAATTACCGATGCATCGGAGAGAACCTGGTGACCCAGCTGGCCTTCTACGGGGACGTCAGGATCCAGCCTCCCCGTGAGTGCCGCAGCCCCTCCCAGGTCACCTCTCTAGGTCTCCCCTCCCTGCTGTGCCTAGACAGTGCCACCCCATGCTCATGGCTTCTGGTGGTGTCCTCCCTGTCCTCAGTGTCCAGGTCCAAAGCTGCCTCCTCTGAATGCTCCAGACCCTCACATAGGGGCCAGGGAGAATCCTGGGGACAGTGGGAGCTGTCATTTACTGAGCACGTGTCCCGTGCTGGCCACCATCCTACCTGTGTGCCTGTCACGGAATCCTGGACTTGAGTCTAAGACAGGGAAGGCGGCTGCTCCCCATCCACACATCCAGCTTTCTGTGTCGAGGGGAGAGGCCGACAGGCCCAGAGAGCCCAGGACAGGCCAGGAAGCAGGAGGAGTCTGGGGTCTCAGACCCAGGTCACATCCTGGCCCTGCCCTGACCATCACACGAAGCAGGAGCAGGCAGCTCAGGTTCCCAGACTCAGGTCCCCATCTGCAGTGTCAGGACAGTCCCCACACAGCGTGAGACTGCAAGGAAGGGCCCAGGGGGCTGCCAGCCGGTCACCCCAGAGTCACCTGCGAGCAGGGGCAGGATGTGGGCTGGACACTCGGTCACACCCCACAGCGTGCTGGGCTCCCGGGACAGGCCAGGCACCATGTGCTATGCCCAGAGGAAGCCCTGATAAGCCTTGAAGCACAGAGGTGGGTGGGCACAGGGAGGAGGGGTGAATGAGGACTGAGTGGGGTCCTGACCTGGGTGTTCTCTCCCCAGGACCCTCGCCTGCTCCTCCGCCTCCTCCTGGCTTCTCCATCTCGGGCCCCTTGGTGGTGTTCCTCATTTTGGTGACGTCCCTGGGCTGCGGCCACCTCTGTGGGATCCTGGTCTACGGCCTGGTCAGACTCTACCTCCGCAGGTGCCCATCGCTCTGGCAGGGGGGACCTGGCGGGGCTGGGACTCAAGGCCAGCTCTGGCTGCAGAAGGGAAGGCAGGGCTGGAGGGGACACAGGCCAGGAGCTGGAGCAAGTGGACAGAACCCAGGCCAGAGGGGGGGGAGACGGTGGGGGTGAGCGCTGGCCACGACTCCAGGTAGCTGCAGGGACCCCTTCTCCTCAGTCCAGGTTCTCTGTGTTTAAACTGTGGGTCTCGGTCTCTGCCTCGAGAGCAGGGCTGACAGTGGGAGGGTCACATCAGGCATCCAGCAGGTGTCAGGGACCTAGTGGTCACATGTTGCCAAGCAAGTGGGGACACAGGGACCAGAGGTCGACAGGCAGGGAGAAACTGGACGGTGTGGTCAAGACCCCACCCTGCACTAGCTGGACAGGGGGCCCTGAGCAGGCCACTTCCCCCAGAGCTTCCCCAGCCCCTCCTGGAGGTCGCTGAGAGTCCCACCTGCCCTGTAGGATGATGTGGGCATTGGACATGCGCTGGAGGACAGGGATCCCAGTGTCCTGGGCAGAAAGTGGACCAGTGTCTCACCTTGGCACCAGCGTCATTCACGGACAGAAAATTCTTCAAGGTGGGGATAAGGTTGTCCTGTGCATTGTAGGTCCCTGGCCCCTGCCCACTCGAGGCCAGTAATAAAAACCACCACCACCCCCAGATGAGACCACTGAAATCTCTCCAGGCACCATGAAGTCCATGTGGAGGGCAAGATTCCCCTGGCTGAGAACCTCTGGAGTGGATGTTAATAAACAGCAGTGATACTGGTCATGTTGGCAATGATGGTGATGGCCAGGCTGGTTACAATGGTGCTGATGATGGTGTCTCTGCTGACCATGGTGATGCTGTGGTTTAACAGTGAGACGGTCTCGGTGATGGTGGTAATAATGCTGACAATGGTGACTGTCAGCCTTCTGTCACTGCAACAAAACACCTGAGAGAGGCAACTTGTAAAGATGAAGGTTGATGTTGGGTCACAGTGTTGGGAAGTCACTCCTGGTTAGTTGGTCCCCTTGTCCTGGGGCCTGTGGCAAGGCAGCACGTCACAGCAGGAGTGTGTGGTAGAGCATGCTGGTCACCCACGGCAACTAGCCAGTCCTCATCACCTGGAATTGGCATGTCCAGTCGCAGTTCAGTACCCAAGGACCCTCCCATACACCCAGGTATCCAGCACACCAAAATTCTTCTTCACTGAACAAACCTTCATTTTAAAATAGAAGTTAATTTACACCTAACTGAAATGCAAACCTTGAGATCACAATTATTTTAAAGGTCTTCTAATTTAAAGGTTACACATTTGAAGACATTTTAGTACTGGCTTCATTGAATATTAAATTTATACTACCTTAAAGGGAGGGTCTCTAGGCTTGAGTTAAAAATATGGGAGACACTAGCCATATGCAGGTCTTTAAATTTAAAATGGCTTAAAATTAAATAAGCAAAAAATTCAGGTCCTCAGTCACACCATCCATCAAGTGCTTGGCCGCCCTGCGTGGTCAGTGGCCACCACATGGGACATGCAGACACAGACCTTCTGCACCATTGCAAAGGTTCTACTGGACAGTTGCTCTAGGCCAGTTACACGAGATGTTTTCAAGAGTAAAAAACAATGTCTTTATCAATAAAAAGAAAGAGACAACCACAAATGATCCCTCCCCACCACCCCGTGAGAAAGCACCCTGCATGGGACAAGGAAAGGCCCAGGTGGGGACAGAACCTCATCCTCAACAGGGCAGAGAGGGGGCAGCTGGGAAGGAGACTGAGAGCGTCCAGGACGCAGGAGGAGGAGCAGGGCAGGGCAGGCCCAGGAGCCTGGGAGGGCAGGGGGAAAGGCGGGTCTGCTGACCTCCACAAGGCAGGCCTCAGAGGACACCAGGTCTCAGAGCTTCCCGCTGAGCAGGGGGGACCCACCTGAGGCCACATCCCTCCTGGAGCAGGCCCCTCCTGATCTCAGGGGCTGGAGGCTGGAGGGAAGCAGGGAGCCCACGTGGCCAGGGGTCCTGGACCCTCCCCCAGGAGACCATCATCAGCACCTCTGACCCTCACCTGCACTGGGATAGGATGGGCACCGTCCAGGGCGGATCCTGCTCATCCTTCTTCTGATGTCAAGACAACCTGGTATTAAGAGTCAGGTCTGGGCATGGTGAGGACTAGAGTAGAGGGGATGCCCGCAGTTCATCTCCTCCAGCCCCTGGGTCCCCTGAGATGGGGCTTGGTGAGACCTTGGGCTCCTTCATGCTCAGTGTCCCCAGGACTTAAGGACCTTGGACCTGACTCCTTCATTGTTCCCCAGGAGGAATCGGGCTACCTGACCTGAGACCTGGAGGACAGTCCCCGTCCAGCAAGGAGGTGAGTGGAGAGCGACGGGGAGGAGCTCAGAGTCCCAACCAGGGACAGCTGCACTGGAAAGGCCTCAGGGTCTCCCTGGCAGGGACAGTCAGGGAGGGAGCTTGAAGACAGAGGCTCCTACAAGTCTGAAGACCCCATCTGGGACCTGAGAGATGACATCATGGGCAGCATGGCCACTGGCCACTCTGCTTGTCAGTCAGAGCTGACCAATGGGAGCAGGCTGGGCGGGTCCTGGGCTGAGCTCTGACTCTAACCCTTCACCTCCTCCATCTGCCTCAGAGTTTCCCTTCCCACTTCATCTCCACAATCCCATGCCCTGGAGTCACCAGAGGGGCTGGAAGGGTCCCCAGGTCAGCACTGCTGAGGACGGGAAAGGAAGCAGCCCACAAATGCCCAAAGACAGACAGTCGCTTCCCTGGGCGCTGCACTTGCTGAGCTTCTGAGCCATGTTAGAGACCTCAGGTGCTGAATTCTAAGGTGGAAACCTTCCCCACAAAGCGGCAGCTGATAGGATCCCGTAGGAACACGTATGGGTCAGTGGACATGAGGGGCAGGCGCAGTGTGGGCATGGGGTGTCCCCCAGTTTATGTGTCACACATGCAACAAACTGTGGGGGGCTCAGATCTGCAGGGCTATCTCTGTGCCAATTACTCTCTTTAGACTTTACTGTTTATTCTTAAGTGGTCTCTCCCCCTCACCAAGGGCCTGATCTCTTCACAACCAGAAAAAAAGAGGCAATAAAGTTGGAGCAGTTAAGGAGCCCTGAGCTCAGGGTCCATGATACGACATCGGGGCTCTTCTGAGCTGTCTTTGAATGTCCCCAAAGGTCTAACTCAGTGTGCTGATCACATGGCACCACAAAGGGACAAAGACTCAGGGGAAGGAGATGGGAAGGAGGGAGGGGGCAGACACTCCTCAGCGGCCAATCCCAGGCATGTGCCGGCCGCCTGGCCAGCTCAGGGGTCCCTGCCCTCGGGGGCTGCCTGACAGACACCCCTTCACAGGGTACTGCAAGACGGCAGCTAGGACAGGGCCTGGCCAGGGAGGCCCCGGGGAGGCGGCCCCAGACTCCCTGTGGAGGCCAGGTCTGAGTTCGCGGGTGGCTGGCCACGCTCCTCTGAAGTCTCTAGAAAGACTCCGCCTGCTTCTTCCAGCTCCGGGGTTGCTGCGGTCCATCCTGCCCTCCATGTCCACGTGGCCGCTTCCCTGTGTCTCTGTCCAGAGGGCCCTGGAGCCTGGAGCCTGGACATGGGACTCTGTGGTCACTGCCAAAGTTTCTCCTGGGATAAGGACACTAGGCACTGGGTGTAGGGTCACTCGAATCCAGCAGGACCTCATATTAACCTGATGACAGGGCGGGGACCCTCCTTCCCAAGTCACGTTCACAGCCTGGCTCAGGACTTGATCTCCCATCTCTGGGGGCGGCTGCAACCCACAGCTGTGTGTGTCAGTGAGCAGGATGACGAGACACCCTGATGCTCCCCAAGCCCTCTCCACTCCCTCCCTCCCTCCTGGTGGTCCCCATGGACTTGGGAGGACCCCTGGAGCCCTGGACTCTGCTGTCATGGCCTCTGTGGTGGCCCTGCCCCCCACAGCACTGGACACAGGGTCACAGCCGCTGTCTCCATACACCCCTGACTGAAGCCACCCACATGCCCCAGGAAGAGCACGGGAGTGAGTGAGCCGGGGTGGACTCGTCCAGAGGACCCTCTGGCCACACAAAGGGACAGACATGCTGCTCACGGTGGCATGAGTCTCAGAACACAGCGCAAACTGCTCCCTGCGCTGCCCGTGGGCACAGCCCGGGAGGTGGGACAGGACAGACGTGCAGGGAGCAGAGGGTCTCAAAGGGCAGGAGTGAGGTCCTGACCCCCGGGCTCCACCCACTGTCCCAGGAGGTCACTCCCAGGCCATCTCCCTCCCGGGCCAGCCAACCCCAGATCTACAGCTCGACCTTGTGCCCTGTTAATTAGCAGATCAGGCCAGGAGATGCCGATTCTGAGGGACCTATGATTTAGGGGACTTCCCAGCATTATCTATTGATCAGGTAATGGACCACGTCAGCCTGAGGACCCTGAGGTTGACCAGGCCACCCCCAAGCGTCCTGTAATCACCAGGCTGACTCAGTCAAAGGTGGACATCTCAGGGGAAAGGACAACCTGTGATTTAATAAACAAACAAACAAACCAACAAACAATGGCGGGGGAGGACTAAGAGCAGCTCAGAGGGTGGGTAGGCGTCTCCAGGTTCACCTTGGCAGCTGCCCCTCTCCCTGAGAAGCACCAAGGAATGTTGTCTCCTGCACATGTGTCCCCTCTGCCTCCTTCCATGTCAGACGGGAAGAGACCTCAGAATCAGGCTGGAGTTCCAATTCCAGCCCTACCCCAAGCAGCACAGGAACTCTGAGACAGCAGCATAGCCTCTCTGAACCTCAGTCTCTTCATCTGCACTGTGGGGTGGTCATCTTACAGGACGCTGCAGCACATGAGTGCACTGACAGCAAAGCCCCTGGCTGGAGACTCCCACAGCACAGCCCAGGGCCACATAAAAGCCCCTGGAAGATGGATGCATGTGTGTTGGGTTTGTTTTTAAGGGGAAAGCTGATATCTGAATGCAATGCTACCTGTGGCCCAGTAAGGACACCCTGTGATCTGCCATTGTGACACCCCGGTCTGTACCTGCAGACAGGTGCAGAAGTCTCCTGGAGGGATGGGGATTTGGCTCAGTTGGTAGAGTGCTTGCCTTGCGTGCACAAGGCCCTGGGTTTAATCCCCAGCACCACAAAAAAAAAAAGAAAAAGAAAGAAAAAGAAAGAAAGTTTTTTATAAGAGCAACTAAGAACAGAGCAGGGAGGAAGAGCATGAGAAGAAGATTAACATTAAACAGGGACGAGAGGTGGGAGGGAAAGGGAGAGAGAAGGGGAAATTGCATGGAAATGGAAGGAGACCCTCATCTTTATACAAAATTACATATAAGAGGAGGTGAGGGGAAAGGGGGGGAAAAACAAGGGGGAGAAATGAAGTACAGTAGATGGGGTAGAGAGAGAAGAGGGGAGGGGAGGGGAGGGGAGGGGAGGGGGATAGCAGAGGACAGGAAAGGCAGCAGAATACAACAGACACTAGTATGGCAGTATGTAAAAACGTGGATGTGTAACCGATGTGATTCTGCAATCTGTATACGGGGGAAAAACGGGAGTTCATAACCCACTGGAATCAAATGTGTGAAATATGATATGTCAAGAGCTTTGTCATGTTTTGAAGAACTAATAAAAAAAAGTCTCCTGGAACTAGGGATCAACGCCTGGCTCCACAGGGGCAGGGGGCAGGTTATGAATCCCCCCAGGGAAGCCCAGAGAGCCTCCTGGGTGGGGCTGGGCAGCAGCCACTCCACGTCATGCACATGGAGACCTTTGTCCCTTGGAGAGGCTGGTGCTTTTCTCAGGAAGCTCAGGGAACCCAGGGGCAGAGCGTCTGCGCCCGTCAGTAACCACAACAGCCTGCCTACAGCACAGGGCACAACACCCGCAAGAGGAGGCCCCCAGGTCCCCAAGGCCCCCACCTGTTCCCAGAAAGACGCTGAAGCTCCTCCCCGTCCCTCGCTGACTGTCCCCTCCTTACTCCTGTCCTGCCTCTGGACCCCCAGGCCCTGACCCGGGAAGCTGACTCCTGAGTCCTCCCTCCGCAGGCAGAACCATGGGGGAGGGGTGGTGAGCACCTCTGTCCCCCTGAGGGGATGGCAGGTCCTCAGAGGAGCTGACCACTGTCTCCTGAATCATCCTCAGCCTGGGTGGACAGACGGGAAACAGCTGTGTGGGCTGTGGGGACGGCAGCTCATGCGAGTGTCCAGGTCTCTGTACCCGCCAAAACTGTGACTGACAGGCGCCGCCACCCACACTCCCCTGACCCCCCCCCATGTGAACAGGAGAAAAGGTGACGCAGCCCAGTGACCCCCGCACTCCCCCGAGCTCGGAGGCAGCTGCGCCCCCGCACTCCTGTGAGAGGGACTCCCCGTCCACCCCTCTCACAGCTCCCAGTGTCCACTAGAAATGGCTCAGATCTCACCCGACACCTTTCATCCTTTAAAAACTAACTTCTGTTTTCAGCCAAAGTACAACCACACACAGTAAAATGTGAACATCTTCCACGTGCAACTCCAGGTTCTGGGAAGTACAGACCCAAGGGGCCAGAATCCCAACCAAACAACTGTTCCCAGCAGCCAGAGTCCCTGAGAGCCGGGAATTCTGTGCATATTCTGTATATGTTCTAGGTTCAGTGAGATGATACACAGCCACGTGTGAGTGTGTGTGTGTGTGTGTGTGGGGGGTGTGTACATATGTGTATGTGGAATGTGTGTGTACATGTGTGTATGTGGGATGTGTGTGCACATGTGTGTATGTGGGGTGTGTGTGCACATGTGTGTATGTGGGAGGTGTGTACATATGTGTATGTGGAATGTGTGTGTACATGTGTGTATGTGAGATGTGTGCACATGTGTGTATGTGGGGTGTGTGTGCACATGTGTGTAGGTGGAATGTGTGTACATGTGTGTATGTGGGGTGTGTGTACATGTGTGTATGTGGGGTGTGTGTGCACATGTGTGTATGTGGGAGGTGTGTACATGTGCATATGTGGAATGTGTGTGTACATGTGTGTATGTGGGATGTGTGCACATGTGTGTATGTGGGGTGTGTGCACATGTATGTATGTGGAATGTGTGTGTACATGTGTGTATGTGGAGTGTGTGTACATGTGTGTATGTGGGGTGTGTGTACATGTGTGTATGTGGGGTGTGTGTACATGTGTGTAGGTGGGGAGTGTGTACCTGTGTGTAGGTGGGGTGTGTGTGTGCACATGTGTGTAGGTGGGGTGTGTGTGTACATGTGTGTATGTGGTGTGTGTGTACATGTGTGTAGGTGGGGTGTGCACACGTGGGTACACACTCTCTCCCAGGTGGAGACTTGCCGTTCATCTTCTTACTCGGGTCCTGTAATTCACAGAGGGACTTTTAGGCGTTTGGATGACATCTAATTCATGCAACTTTCCTTTCCTGCTTAGGGTTTGGATCTGCTCTAGGAAATCCTTGCACACCCGACGATGTCCTCCAGGTCTTCACCCGGAGCTGCCCCCAGGTAGAGGTACAAGGCAAGGCACACATGTGGGTTTTGGTGTCTTGGTGGTCACAATAAAAAGTCAAAGGTGAAATCACTTTTCATAATGTTTTATTTAACACATACATTAAAATATCAAGTATTAAGATCACTAAGGAAGCACCGTGTTCTTTGGCCTAATCAACGCGGCACACTGGAGGTGCCCAGGCCTGGGGGCTGGCAGCTACCTCGCGGACCACCCAGTGTGGACGCTTTACAGGTTTCACGCTCACCTCCAGGTCCCTGACTCACCGCAGACGTTTCTCGGGTGTGACGTGGTGAGTGTCAGAGTTTCCACCTTTCCAACCCTTGATCCACTCCTTCTACTCCACTAATTGAAAAGTCTCTCCTCTCCCAAGGGAATGAACTTGAAGTCCACTGACAGGGTGGGGGGCCATTCATGGAGTCCACCGTCCCACTGCACTGCCTGGTGACTCTGCCTGAAGAGGACTGTGACCCTCCAGCTCTTCTTCTTCTGCAAGATGGTCGCATTATTCTGGGCCCTTTATATTCCCATGAAGATTCACAGTCACTTGTGCATTTATACACATGGAGGTGAACGTCACCTCCTGTATATTCACATACACACGTCTGCTCACACACCTGTATCTACTAACACGTGCACCTACTCACACTCAGAGGTTAGGGTTTTGACTGGGTATGTGAAACCCACATGGAGAAGGTGACACCTCACCTACGGGTCTTCCAACCCGTGGACATGGTGGCCCCCACACATTCCTTTGCATCTTCCTTCCGCTCCCGCGGCAGTGCTCTGTGGGGTGGGGACAGATGTATTCCACGGATTTCAGTCATTGTCCCTTGATATTTGTGACGCTGCTGTGAATGGGCTGGGATCCAGGTTTAGGGCTTTGAGTGCTCCCTCCAGTCCTCGGGTCCTTGCCTTCCCGCCTACTTGTGAAGTGACTGCCACGATCCATTCCTTCCCTTGTTGGGGTGACGTGTGTCGGTAAGACTTTAGGTCATTGGTTCATTCTGGGGATAACCCTCAAACTGTGGGACACTTTTCTCACTCCCTGGTTTGGCCCTGGAGGGGGGAGACCATGGCTGCTTCCTCCCTCTCAGCTCCACCCCTGGAGCTCCACGCTCACAGGAATAGGACACCAGGAGGACAGCCTTCGAGGGGGGACCCAGTGTCCAGGGACCAAAGGATGCGTCATGGGGCCGACGGAAAAGGGCTGAGAAAGGCCAGGGGAGGCGTGGGCAGCAGTGAGGACCCAGAGGGCGTGGAGGGAGGCCGCAGGAGGCTGGGATGGGCCACTCGGGACCAGGGAGCCACGGTGAGCTGCGAGCAGAGAGAGCTCCCTGTGTCGATGGCCCCCGACTGCATGCAGGTGACAGGTAAGGGGAGCCGGGAGGCCAAGGCCAGAAGGAGGGAAGGAGGCCGGGCCAGAGCTGCGCAGGCCTGACCCTAAGGCACGGTCACTTCCTGGAAAGCTGTGGAATGGCCACGTGGGGGCCAAGGGCACAGGCAGGTGCCCACTGCTGCCTCCAGAGGAGGAGCCCCCAGAGAGACTTTCTGCCCCTCAATTCCTCACCTGTAGGGCTTTGTAAAGTTTTATTTGTGTTAATGTACAAATGGTAACTGTGTGCATTTATCGGGGACAATGTGATGTTCAATAGCTTCATACCCTGAGGACTGACACACTGGGCCAATCAGCCATCCATCACCTGTGACACCCTCCATTCCCTTGTGGTGAGGACATTGAAAATCCTCCCTTGAGGCCCGGGGACATGGCCCAGGTGGTAGAGTGCTTGCCTCACGGGCACAGGGCCCTGGGGTCCATCCCCAGCACCACCAACCACACTCCTCTCTTGCAATATACAGTGTGATGTTCTGTCCTTGGGGACACCTCGGTGACCTGCAGGACAGTGTGGTGGATGACACAGGCCCAGAGAGAAGCACAGCAGGATCTCACTGCAGTGGAGTCAGAAAGAGTTGAGCTCAGGAGCGAGAGGAGAGCGGAGGCCCTGGGTGGGCAGGTGGCGGGGAGAGAGGGGGTGGCCACAGCACGGAGCGCAGCTGGGAATAGGTCTGGGTTCCAGTTCTGCGTGGCGCCAGGACCTAGAGGCGTCCCTCTGCAGGGACCTGACTTTTCCTTGCCCTGGAAGAGGCTGCGCCTCCTTGAGCCGGGGCCGGTCTCAGTCTCTCATGGCTGGATGTGGATCTCCGCGTACTCACTGTCGGGGGCCTGCTCTCCCTGCGGGTCGCTGGCCTTCACCTCATGAAACCTGAGGGCTGCATAATGGATCTCCTCATCCTCTGAGGGGCGGGTGGCCCCGGCCTGGGGAGCTGGCTCTGGGGAGCGTTCCTCTGCCTGGGACTCGACCAAGCGGCTCTGAGTGGAGAGAGAGGAGAGAGTCAGGGTGGACAGTGGGGAGGAGGCCAGGGCTGCAGGGGTGCCCGTGTGTCCTTCATCCACACAGCCTTGTGCACCAGTGTTGAACTGTCCCTCATGCACACTTCCTCAAGCACCGAATGCTCCACGCGCACCGAGCCTTGTGAACTTCCCCCAATAGCTCCATGGGGGAGGTATTATTTCGTCTCCATTTCATAGAAGTGAAAACCGAGGTTGAAGTAGGGACGCAGCACACCCAAACTCCCAGGTAAAATCAGGGTCTCATCTGTTTCTTCCTGACCCAAAGCCCAGTGTCCTCCTGAGAGCCCCGGTGCCAGATCCTAAGCTGGGTGCTCGGTGCACCCTGGTGGACTCAACAGACCTAGGCCTGGCCTCTTGCAGCTCATTCCTTAATGGACGGTGGTCACAATAAGGACTAATCAAAAACCAAAAATCCAATCGTGCATTATGATAAGATGGGCAGGAACAGGGCACCTGGGAGAGGCTGTGCCTGGACCAGACATGGCGCCCGCCCGAGATGCTGACAGCCTGACGGGTCTGGGGCAGGAGCCAGCCAAAGAAATGGTATCCCTCCAACAGGAAGAAAAAGAACCCCCAAATGTCCTCATGTGAGTTCCTGGAACCTGCAAATACATTTCCTTGTGAGAGAGACTTTGCAGGTGGAATTAAGTCCAGGATGTGGAGGTGCAGAGGGATCCTAGGTTTGTGGGCGAGCCCAGTGTAGTCACGAGGGACTCTTCAGTGAGGGTGGGGGGACGCGAGGGACTGGACGATGCTGCTGGCTCTGCAGATGGAGAGAGGCCCCGCCCCCGCCCAGGTCCCCAGGCCCCCAAGACACAAAAGCAAGAAAACATCATCTTCCAGAGCCTCCCCAAGAACCATCGCCCGCTCCCTGACTTTATTCCTGGGAAACCCATTTTGGACATGTGACCTCCCGAATGGTAAGGTGACACGTATTTTTGTTTGAAGTCACTAAATCTGTGGCGAGTCTTACAGCAGCAGCGGGAAGCTAATAGAGCAGGTCAGGCAGCAGAGAGCCAAGGGGTTCCCCCAGGGGTCCCCTTCATTTTAGGCCTTTCTCTGCCCACCCTGGACAGCAGATGGCGCCACAGAGCTGACCGTGACTTGGCTCCTCCCCCTGCCTCCTGATTCTCTGAGGATTCACACTCAAGCTGCTTCTCCACCCTGAGGCCCCGAGCCCTGCTCCTCCCGGACTCTGCAGAAGCCGAGGACACAGCCGCACACCTTCCCCACGCAGAGGCCTTCTGCACTGAGCTACGGGACATCTCCAGGCCCATCCACCGCCCTGGCAGCCCTCTGTCCTGTCCACACCTCCTGATCCCTGAACCTCAGAGTCTTCTCTGCAACGTCCCTTGGTGGTCACGGTCAGTCCCCACGGCCCCTCGCCATCAACAGCTGTGACGTGCAAGCCCTCCTCCCGCTCCCCCTCCGGACCACAGAGTCGGGCCAACAGTGTGCAGACGCTCAAGTTACAGCCAATAAACCTACATAACTAACAAGGTCAAGGTCAAAAGTGGGCTTAGTGCATGGACGGCCCAGGAGCACCAGTTTACCTCCCCGACCTTTAAGCACGCTCACCACACTCACGTGAGCCTGGCACTGGGAGAGCTCTCACGCAAAGTCTGTTTTGTAGCAAGTTTGAACAGCCGCAGAGCCACTCAACACCGCGCTGGCCTACCTCCGGTGTGGCTTGTGGGGGACGCTGCCCCTGCCCAGGGCCACAGAATGTCATGTACCACCCACCCCTGGTCCCGGAGAAGGTCAACATGCTAAATCTGAAATGTGGCTTCTCTGAGTGGGTGCTGCTTTGCATGTTCGTAAAGTTGAGAAGTCGTCCATGGAAACACTGTGAGTAGGGGCTGTCAGTACTCGGAACCCCTCCCTTGTCCAGAAACTAAAACCTATTTCAACAAAACTCCTCCTTCCCTCCCCCAAGTCCCCTCCTCCTACCTCATCTGGACCTCAGTGGTTGGCGCCTCCATTCTGACTGCTCAGGGCAAATGTCTGGGAGTCACGCATCCTGGATCCTGTCACTCAGTCCCCGTTCCCTGTCCATAGTGGCCCCACTCAGCTGACCTCAGGAGCCAGCCAGAGGCCAGTCAAGGTTCCAGCCAGCATGACCTCCTGCCTGGCAGTGCCTCCCAGCCTCCTTTATAACCTCCGGCCTCTGCCCCCCCCACCACACACCTGCCCCCCACCACACACACGCGCACACTCACACACACACACACACTCACAGTCTCTCCTTCACACACACACATACACACACACGTGCACACACACACACCACACACACACACAGGGTCTTCTTGCACACAGCAGCCAGAGGACACCCTCCTCCTGCTCAGGCCTGCAGACCCTGCACAGCCCCACAGCAGAGGGGATTTGCATAAGCTCAGCCTCTCCCAGCTGATTTCCTGGGGTCACCTGCCTCCCTCTGTAGAGCCCAGGCCCTGCCCTCACCCCTGGGCAGCCTCCTGTTGGAGTAACTGCACCCACTGCTCCCTCTGCCTGGCCACCACAGACTCCAGAGCCCCCTCGTCACTGCCCTCGCCACAATGGGAAGAAACTTGGGAGAGCTTTCCATCTGATAAGGGCCCAAGAGCCAGGCTGCAGAAGGGACCCTGCAGCACGTCAGCACAAAACACAGCCCAAGTAGACAATGGGCAAAGAACATGACCAGACATTTCTCCAAAAAGACACAGAAATGGCCCAGAAGCACACACACACAAATCTTCAGTGTCACTAGTGATCAGAGAAATGCAAATCAGAACCACAGAGAACTATCACCTCACATGTATTAGAAGGACAGTTTTAGGAAAATAATAGGAAATTACACAACCACACACACACAAAAAACAGTGTGGCCAAGGATGTTGAGAAATGGGAACCTCGTACGCTTCTGGTGCATGTAAGATGGTGTAGCTTCTGCAGAAACAGGAAGTTCCTCAAAAATTAAAAAAAGGACACTATACAATCCAGAAATCCTAGTTATGGGCACATATCCAGAAGACTAGAAAACAGAATCTTGAAAGGATGCTCACACAGCTGTGCATTATTCACAGTAGCCGACAAATAGAAGCAACCAGAATGCCCATCAACAGATAAATGGGCAAAGAAAATGTGGTGGAATATTATTCACCCTTAAAAAGAAAGACCTTCTGTCACATGCTACACCACAGACAAACCTTGAGGACGTGTGCATGACATAAGCCAGTCACAAAAGGGCAAATCCTGTACAAGTCCACCTCAGTGAGGCCCCAGAGGAGGCAAAGGCACAGAGACAGAGAGTAGGAGGGTGGCTGGCGGGGTGGGGGGAGGGGCCAGGAGGGCAGCGGGTTGTGCTCATGGATGGAGACGAAGTGCTCCGGGGATCTGCTGACCAGCTCTAACTTCAACACAGCTAAGATGGTGAAACTCACGCTGCATGGTTTTCCACCCTCGAGGACAGATCTAAAAAACAGAACCTCTCAGCCCCTCCCAGTCCTGCACCCTTCCTCCCCAGAGTAAGTCTCTCTCGTTGTGCCCATGCACCCACCATCTGTTTGCTTGGTGGCTTGCTGCATCCCTCTGTCTAGAAGAGAAGCTCCAAGCCTCAGGTTTGCTGCTGTGTCTCATAGATGGGTCCCTGGCCCCTACACAGCTGGTCCCTGGTAGGTCTCAGGGACATCCCCTGAGGGGTTAAGGAATTCCAGAGCAGGCTACTTTGCTGCCCAAACTCTCCAAAGCAGGCTCTAGATACAAAACACAAAGGAGGAGGGTGACAGGTCCCTAGAGCACGGAGGGTGACAGGAATGAATAGTGGGACTGCAAAGAGCCTCTGAGAGGGAGGAACAGGCAGGCCCAGGCCCAGAGGCACGAATGACCTTGTTCTGTTCTGGGGGACCACAGTGAAAGCCCCCTGCAGAGGAGCCCAGTGTGGGGGGCGGGAGCAGGCTGTGGGGAGGACAGGGCCAGGCGAGAGAGCTGGGCACTCACCAGGAGAGAAAAATTAAAAAGGGGGTCAAAAATGTCAGAAATTGAGATAAATATTTTAATGCAGAGATACTAAAAATAGAAATTAATGCCAAAATTCCTGGAAAATAAACCCAGCATTATTGAAAGTGTCAGCTGAGCCAACTGGAGGAACACTCTGTTTGTATGTTTTAGTGACATTTTTAATGGTCAGCTTTTTTAGAGAACTTTAAAATAACTGAAATGATCACGTTTCATTAATATGTAGCACAGCCTTTTCCTAAGTTGAGGATCTGATGTCCCCACCAGCCCTGAGGTCATTGTCCCTCCTGGCTCTGCTGGAGATGAACATGGGGAGACGGTATTTACAACCTACTCTTTGATTCCCTTCTGTTCAGGGGAATGCGGCCACGCTGCACAAAGTCTCTGGACTGAATGACAACCTTAAGTCACCTTAACTAACTTTAGTTACCTAATTTTGTCACTATTTACATTTTTGATATCTTGCTCATTATGGATCTTTCATTAATTTTGAGCTTAAAAAAGACAGCTCATTAGAACACTATTTGTCTCCATTCCTGAGATTTTCTTGGCACCCCTTAAATTTTCACTGAAGACAAGGGGCTCCTTGGCTCCCCCAGGCTCCTGACCTGATGGGAGGTAGGGGGCCACCAGGGGCTGAGGAGCTCACTTTCCCTGTGGGTCAGCCTTGCCACAGGGTCATGCTCACCATTTGCACAGACCCCGTGACACAGCAGATCCTCATGCCACAGTAGCAGAGCTGAGTAGCCACAACAGTGACAGGGGGTCAGCAGCCAAGGGGTCTACCGTCTGGCCCTGCAGACGATGTTCAAGTGCACAGGAAGTGGACACTGGGCGCCTGGAAGATGGCACCAGGTGGAAGGGGAGACAGAGGCGGGAGGTGGACAGGTCCAGGGAAGAGATCCCAGCCCCTAACCATGAAGGGGTCAGGGAGTGTGGGGGCTGGTGCTCGCTACTCTGAGGAGACATGATGTGACACAATGGCTTAACAGGAGACAGCAGAAGAGGGGGGGATCCCTCGGGCCTGGCCTGGGAGAAAGCAGGGAGGAGGGCGCTGTCAGCAGCCCACGGTGTGGGCATCCAGCTGGACAGCCGGCTGTCCTGGGGGAAGAGGGGAGAGCAGCCGTGCCACCCCCAGCAGAGCAGTCCTGGGGACATCTCCGGGAGGTGTGGGGATGTCCCATGTCACTCACCTGAGAGGCCGCCGGGTCCTGGACAGCCTTGGTATCCCCTGAGCCTGCCACTGGCCTGGTGGACCTCTTCCTGTAGGAGCGCGCTCTGAATGGGGACACCAAGGAGCCCTCAGTGGGGCCAGGGGGGCGCAGAGGGCAGACGGCCGCCCCACCCCTGCTTCTTGCTGAGCCCAGGAGGGCGGCCAAGTGGGAGAGGACAGCCCTGTCCTGGAGGCTCCTACTGGGAAGGCAGCTCCGGGCTCCGGCCTCCGAGAGTGGGGACAGCCCGGGAGCCCCTTGCTCGGACGTGGGCTTGCGTGGCTGGCTCCCCCAGAGCCCACCTGGACCTCAGGTGCCCTGGCTTCACGCCCTCGGCCATCCAGGTCCCTCCAGCTCAGGGCCGGGCCCAGCTCGCCCTCCTCCTCTCCAGGGTGCTGCCCGGCCTCCCCGACGCCCGCCAACGCTCACCCGAGGAGGAGGAGGAGGGTGCAGGACAGGAAGAGCAGGGAGGTAGCTCCAGCGCCCCAGAGGGCCCCCCGCGTCACTCCGGATAGAGGCCCCGCTTTGCCTGTGGACGCACCAGAGGGAATCCCTTTGCCGAGTCAGCTCCCAGGATCCCTCCTCCTTCCCTGGGGCTCCCTGCAGGACCCTGGACTGAGCCTTCCTGGTCCCTCTCCCAGACCAGGAGAACTAGGATGGGGGGGGGCGCCGTGTGGTTATTAAAATTTGGTATTTTGTTCACCATAGAATTGGTTTGCATCCATTTTTACTGTTTTAATTACTGCATCGTGATACTATTTTCGCTCAGTGTCTGGGCGGGTTCTGTTCTCACGGGGGTTTTGTTTGCTTTTATTCTTGGCTCCTGGCTTCTGGCTTCATCCTAAATGTTGTGCCCAAGGCAAATGCCTCACGAGTCCTGGCCCACAAAGCAAGGGCCCTGCTGCCCAGACACACCTGTCTAAGGCCCACCTGGCCTCCAAGATCCACCCACCACCCCTTGGCCCAGCAGGGAGAGGACAGCGAGGCTCTGGGTCCCAGGCCCCCAGCTGAGGGCAGGACAGAGATGAGCTTCCCTCTCAAGCCAAGGAGGTGGCTGCAGGGACTGGTGTGGGGCGGGTGGTGTCCCCTCCTCCTGGCCCTCACCAGCCCACTGTGACACTCACTCTGCGGTGACAGGCTCAGGGAGATGTGCTGGGAGCCCAGTGGGTTCTGCGCACGGCAGGTGAATTCCCCTCCACCCCTGAGGTGCTCTGCAGACAGCTCCAGCACCCCAGGGTCCATGGTCTGCGAGGGACACAGGGTCAGGTTCCCCCAGGACCAGCTCAGCCTGGCAGGGGGACGGCTGTCGACGACACAGAGCAGACGCAGAGATTGACCCTCCAGGACGGAAAGAGATGAGCCATTCCCCAGGGTTGTGGATTCTGTGGAGAAAGAGACAGAGGGTCAGAGTGACAAAGAGAGCAAAGGAAAGAGAACCCTGGAGTCCAGAGAGGGGACCCACACACACTCATAACTGAATGAAGCACAGGAAAACACACCCTTGACCTGGGCCCAGGAATATGGCCAAGTTGATGTTCCTGTGACGGATGTGTTTTCCTGTACCTCCTTCAGCTATATTGACTCAAGCTCTTAGACCAGAACATGTGGCACAGCTGTGTTTTGTGCTCAGGAGCTGAGCTCACTGACGTGCACACCCAGCTGTGGACGGAGGCTCAGGACCGTCCACTGCACACTCCTGTGGGCTGAATGGACTCAGTGCTGGTTGGCAGAGGACGCCCACAGAACGGGGCCCATCTGGGCAGTGGGACACCCTCACCACTGAGAACGAGGACCCTGAGTGCTACTGACATGCAGTGACCTCTCAGGCCTCAGGTGCACAGTCCAAGGCTCAGCTTGCATGGACACTGGTCACCTCTGGGAGGGACCTAGGCTCTGGGGACAGCCTGCTGGACATGTTCTGCATGTGCCCTGGACTGTGCCTCCTCCCACAAGCACTTAGATCAAAGCTGTTGGGGAATAAGAAGAGGAGGCTGGAGGCGGGTCCAGGAGGAGGCTGGGAGGGGGACTGGGAGCCCAGTTCTGATGTGAGAGTGTCTCCCTGTCCCTGTGGGGGTGAGGGGCAGGTGCTGGACCCCCAGGGAGCCCAGGAGGGTGGGGACAGGAGCTCAAGGCAGACTTGAAGCTTTGGTGGGGAGAGGTCAATGGGTTCCCCAATAAGGGGCTCTGTCACCAGGGTGAGGGGGACCAGACCTGCCCTGAGCTGAAGAGGCTCTGCCCCCCAGCCCCAGCGAGGCCCCTCCCTACCTGGGCCAGCTCCTCGGGACACAGTTACAGTCAGGTTCTGTGGAGAGTCTGGGGCAGGGAGACGCGCAGACCTGTCAGTGGGAGGCTGGGGACATCAGCCCTCTGTCCCAGGAGCCTCATGGTGGGGAGGGGTGGAGGCTGCATCCTCCTGGCCCAGCCCCCACATGATTTCAGGACCGAGCACCCAGTGTCCAGGGTCTGACCCCTCTCCCTGCTCCCTCAGGGACCAGCCCCATCAGAGACCCAGGTGTCCCAGCCCAGCTCTCACATGAGATGTTCAGGTGGACGGTCTTTGTCCTGGTCACACGGGCTCCAGGCAGGGTCACCTGGCAGGTGAGGTTGGTGCCATGGTCCTGGGGCCACGGGGTGAGGGTGAGCACCGAGGAGTGGATGATGTTGGGGTCCAGGGAGGACACAGAGGGCCCTTCCCAGGAGAAGGTGGGGGGCGTCCCCTGCTCACAGGCCCAGGGCACAGAGCAGGTCAGGTTGCTGGGACGGCCAGACTCCAGGGTCCCAGGGACGAGGATGTCAGGGGTGTGGGTCAGGGCTGGTGAGCAGAGGGGGACAGGGGGGGTCAGGAGGGAGGGGGGAGGTGGGGCCCTAGAGAAGCTCAGGCTCTGACCCAGCTGCTCCCTGAGCCCCTAATGCTGACCCCACTCCCCCAGGGCAGGGTCCCACCCAGCCCTGTCCTGTGACCTCCCTGAGGCTGCCTTGACCTGGTGCCTTACCTGTCACACGCACTGAGACCATGTCATATAGGTAATTGTATCTCAAGCCTCCTCTCTCCACCCGAAAGTAGTATGTCCCCGTGTCCGTCTTCCTGGCGTCTCTGATGCTCAGGGAGCAGTTGTAGTTTTTTGGGTCCCCAAGAAGGTGGAACCGGCCCTGGGTCTCCTCCCGCACGTTCCTGTCAGGGTCGTTGGTGGCCACTGGAGCATCCGTCATTGTGTCCTGTAGCCGGAACCAGTAGCCATGAGCTGGGTCCCTTTTAGTCCAGCGGCTCCCGGGGTAGGAGAATTGGCAGGGCACATGGACACACAGGCCCTCCTGCACTGTCACCTCCCTGGGCACCTTCAGGGTGTAACCTGGCAGGTCGTAACCCCCCTGGGCCTCCACCCGCCCACAGCCCTGCAGCAGGGGCAGCAGCAGCAGCAGCAGCAGCATGTCGGCCAGGGCTCAGGGCCGCAGGGGAAGTCTGCCCCCAGAGCTCCTCTCTGAGGAACTAAGAGCCCACAGGAGGAGGCCCACGGGAAGGGGACAGGAGGGGACGGTGGCCTCCTAGAGGAGGAGCCTCAGCCAGCCTCTGCCAGGGCGGCCTCTGCCCTTGGAGACCAGCCCCCACCACCACGTCCAGCCTACAGCCCTGAGGACAGAGAGGACAGGGACCCTCCCTGAGTCACCCCGTCTCCTCCCTCCCTGTTGACGTCTTTCCTCTTGGGAGACTATTCCCCAGTGTCACTCATGGGTTTCCTAACCAGAGCCCTGAGTGACCCCAGGGTAAAGGAGACAAGGGAGGCCACTGGGGTGAGCAGGCCACCTCTCCTGCCTCCCTCAGCAGCCCCACCCCTCACCACTCCCTGCATTGCCAGCTGTGACACCTTCTCTGCACAGCAGACCTGGACACTAAGGACTAAGGACTCCCCACCTTGGGGAGAGACAATAAGTCCACAGGCACTTGGGACATGGTGGGGTCTACCGGGCAGCATGGAGGGCTGCTCCCGCCCTGGCTGGACTTTGGTCTCAGGGGACTGTGCAGAGGAGACACAGGGCTGAGTTCTCTATGGTAAAACACCAAGGACGCAGAGGGACCCAGCTGGCAGGTGGCCTGAGGGACAGAGACCCAGGCTGAGGCCTCATGAGGAGGGACTGGCCAGGAAGACAGTGGGAAGGGAAGAGGCAGATTTTAAAAGGTGCAAAACGTCTCCTCAATCACCAGCCACCAGGACGGACTCCTTCACCGCCATGCTCTCTGCTGCCCGGTTACTCCAGAGCATGTGGACCTGGGGCCTCCAGAGCTTGTTGGCTCTGCCCCCAGGAGTCCCAGGGAACAGAAGGCACAGAGCACGAAATGCCAGTGTGGACGGTCCCCCCTGGGGTGGCCAGGATTCGTGTGAGCAGCAGCATGCACCTGAGGATAGTGATTTGCAGCTGGGGCAGGTCATGGGGGTCCGGGAGGGGGAGCCCTGTGACTCGGGTGGGTTTCCTTAAACCTTTTTCGGGGGGAGACGGGAAAGATGTGTCATGTGGGTAAATGTGCCCCCAGAACAACAGCTCCGTGATTGAGGGCCAAATGAGTGCCCTCCAGGACAGGCCGCAGAGCACTCCAGGGCCACCGTTGTCCTGCTCCCCGTGGCCACCCCTGCTCTCCTCGGGCAGCCCCGGCCTTCCTCTGCAGTTCTCCATCTGAGCTCACCGCCTCCAACACCATGGCTTCCTCTGAGACTCTGTGCCCCCAGAACGTTGGGCTGTGTTCCTCCACTCAGCCCCATGGACCTGTCCATTCCATGGTATCCCCAGAACCAGCTCCCAAACCTGGGGTGGGGTCGTGCCCTGTGATGGCTGGGGGGAGGGGTGGGGTTCCACATGCAGCCCCCCCCACCCCCTGCATTGCCAGCTGCAGTCCCACCTGCAGCCCTCCCAGGCCCCCCGCTGCCCAGACACCCTCCCAGCAGGAGCAACTGCAGAGCCCAGTGGTCAGAAGGGCAGGTCATGACCCTTCTGTTTTACAAAGAAAAATGGAAGAACAGGAAGGAGAGACCTGGGGAAGCCACGGAGAATCTGCATGTAAGAGAGGAACTTCTGAGAGAGCTGGAGAAGCCCCCCAGGTCACCTCTCCAGGTCTCCCCTCCCTGCTGTGCCTAGACAGTGCCACCCCATGCTCGCAGCTTCTGGTGGTGTCCTCCCAAGATAACCGGGGGGGGGGGGGAGGTGACGAACAACTTGTGTACATTGCTACAGCAGGAGTGGGAGCCCTTTACTGCAGGACAGGAGGGGTACATATACATTCCACACAGCTTATCTTAATTAACATCAACTAGATACAGCAGTCAACCGATAAGGAATCTCCACACTTAATGGCTCGCTGGCGTTACTTCACAAACCACTCCGTCTGGCAAAATGCCAGGCGCAATCTTGACTTGTTTACAGACCTTAACACCCCACAGTGGGCCAGGCACCATGTGCTGTGCCCAGAGGAAGCGCTGATAAGTCTTTGAAGCACAGAGGTGGGTGGGCACAGGGAGGAGGGGTGAATGAGGACTGAGTGGGGTCCTGACCCGGGTGATCTCTCCCCAGGACTCTCGCCTGCTCCTCCGCCTCCTCCTGGCTTCTCCATCTCGGGCCCCTTGGTGGTGTTCCTCATTTGGTGACGTCCCTGGGCTGCGGCCACCTCTGTGGGATCCTGGTCTACGGCCTGGTCAGACTCTACCTCCGCAGGTGCCCATCGATCTGGCAGGGGGGACCTGGCGGGGCTGGGACTCAAGGCCAGCTCTGGCTGCAGAAGGGAAGGCAGGGCTGGAGGGGACACAGGCCAGGAGCTGGAGCAGGTGGACAGAACCCAGGCCAGAGGGGAGGGAGACGGTGGGGGTGAGCGCTGGCCATGACTCCAGGTAGCTGCAGGGACCCCTTTTCCTCAGCCCAGTTTCTCTGTGTTTAAACTGTGGGTCTCGGTCTCTGCCTCGAGGGCAGGGCTGACAGTGGGAGGGTCACATCAGGCATCCAGCAGGTGTCAGGGACACAGTAGTCACATGTTGCCAAGCAAGTGGGGACACAGGGGCCAGAGGTCGACAGGCAGGGAGAAACTGGACGGTGTGGTCAAGACCCCGCCCTGCACTAGCTGGACAGGGGGCCCTGAGCAGGCCACTTCCCCCAGAGCTTCCCCAGCCCCTCCTGGAGGACGCTGAGAGTCCCACCTGTCCTGCAGGATGATGTGGGCATTGGACATGCGCTGGAGGACAGGGATCCCAGTGTCCTGGGCAGAAAGTGGACCAGTGTCTCACCTTGGCACCACCGTCACTTGGGGACAGAAAACTCTTCAAGGTGGGGGTAAGGTCGTCCTGTGCATTGTAGGTCCCTGGCCCCTGCCCACTCAAGGCCAGTAATAAAAACCACCACCACCCCCAGATGAGACCACTAAAATCTCTCCAGGCACCATGAAGTCCATGTGGAGGGCAAGATTCCCCTGGTTGAGAACCACTGGAGTGGATGTTAATTAATAGCAGTGATACTGGTCATGTTGGCAATGATGGTGATGGCGAAGCCTGTTACAATGGTGGTAACCATAGTGACACTGCCAACCATGGAGATTCATTAGTGTAACAGGCAGACGGTCCCTGTGATGGTGGTAATAATCCCGACAATGGTGACTGTCAGCCTTCTGTCACTGCAACAAAACACCTGAGAGAGGCAACTTGTACAGATGAAGGTTGATGTTGGGCCACAGTGTTGGGAAGTCACTCCTGGTTGTTGGTCCCCTTGTCCTGGGGCCTGTGGCGAGGCAGCACGTCACAGCAGGAGTATGATAGGTAGAGCATGCTGGTCACCCACGGCAACCAGCCAGTCCTCATCACCTGGAATTGGAATGTCCAGTCTCAGTTGAGTCCCCAAGGACCCTCCCATACTCCTAGGTATCCAGCACACCAAAATTCTTCTTCACTGAACAAACCTTCATTTTAAAATTTAACCTAAATCAAAACCTAACTGAAATGCAAACCTTGAGATCACAATTATTTGAAAAGTCTTCTAATTTAAAGGTTACACATTTGAAAACATTTTAGTACTGGCTTCATTGAATGTTAAATTTATACTACCTTAAAGGGAGGGTCTCTAGGCTTGAGTTAAAATATGGGAGACACTAGCCATATGTAGGTCTTTAAATTTAAAATGGCTTAAAATTAAATAAGCAAAAAATTCAGGTCCTCAGTCACACTGTCTGTCAAGTGCTTGGCCGCCCTGCGTGGTCAGTGGCCACCACATGGGACATGCAGACACAGACCTTCTGCATCATTGCAAAGGTTCTACTGGACAGTTGCTCTAGGCCAGTTACACGACATGTTTTGAAGAGTAAAAAACAATGTCTTTATCAATAAAAAGTAGAGAGACAATCACAAATGATCCCTCCCCCTGCCACCCCTTGAGAAAGCACCCTGCATGGGACAAGGAAAGGCCCAGGTGGGGACAGAACCTCATCCTCAACAGGGCAGAGAGGGGGCAGCTGGGAAGGAGACTGAGAGTGTCCAGGACGCAGGAGGAGGAGCAGGGCAGGGCAGGCCCAGGAGCCTGGGAGGGCAGGGGGAAAGGCGGGGCTGCTGACCTCCACAAGGCAGGGCTCAGAGGACACCAGGTCTCAGAGCTTCCCGCTGAGCAGGGGGGACCCACCTGAGGCCACATCCCTCCTGGAGCAGGCCCCTCCTGATCTCAGGGGCTGGAGGCTGGAGGGAAGCAGGGAGCCCACGTGGCCAGGGTTCCTGGACCCTCCCCCAGGAGACCATCAGCACCTCTGACCCTCACCTGCACTGGGATAGGATGGGCACCGTCCAGGGCGGATCCTGCTCATCCTTCTTCTGATGTCAAGACAACCTGGTATTAAAAGTCAGGTCTGGGCATGGTGAGGACTAGAGTAGAGGGGACACCCGCAGTTCATCTCCTCCAGCCCCTGGGTCCCCTGAGATGGGGCTTGGTGAGACCTTGGGCTCCTTCAGGCCTCAGTGTCCCCAGGACTTAAGGACCTTGGACCTGACTCCTTCATTCTTCCCCAGGAGGAATCGGGCTACCTGACCTGAGACCTGGAGGACAGTCCCCGTCCAGCAAGGAGGTGAGTGGAGAGCGACGGGGAGGAGCTCAGAGTCCCAACCAGGGACAGCTGCACTGGAAAGGCCTCAGGGTCTCCCTGGCAGGGACAGTCAGGGAGGGAACTTGAAGACAGAGGCTCCTACAAGTCTGAAGACCCCGTCTAGTGTTATGCTCAAGGTCGTGACCCCCAAAAGACCACCAGAGACCAGGAGCGATGTAAGTAGCAAAGAGGTGTTTATTGTGAGCTAGCTCCGTCCTCCGGGCACACACAGCAACTGGTGATGCTGAGATGCCCCGAGCCCAGGGTTTGCAGCAGTTTTATACACTCTTTGGGGAAGGCAGGGAATTCACATACATCATGGCATCTCTTCGCACATCATCACACATCGTGGGAAAATCAATAACAACTCTAAAATATGACTAGCACATTCACTGGTG